CTTATTATTCTTAGATGAAGTGTTGTCGCGAACTGGAGCTACAGTAAAAGAGTCAATTTATATATATTTTTGCATTATAAGGTTAAGAAATCATTGATGGCTCAATGGTTATTTTACCTTCACCAGTTGGCACCGACATCTGGTCACCGATGGTGGCTGGCGATGGCTTGTCACTAGCGAGGGGTTGAATCTTTTTTTTTTTTTAAATAAAAGGATATTTTTGTTATTTCTCACTAATTTTAAAATTTTAATTTGGGAATAACTTTTCTCTTTTGGGATATTCTAATTTCAATATTCTTTATTTGTCATTTTTCCCGGAACAGGAAAATTTAATTTCAAAATTTTCAAAAACAAAAAATTTTTTCCTGTAAAAAAAAATCATCTCCACCGGGCCCACCATAGTTTCTTATCACGAGCATACATACTGCGGCTGCCCCGATTAGAGCAAACCTCTTCAGTTACTGTTGAACTTCCTTAATCGCTTCTACGTCCTAACCATGGCCGAACTCGTGCACTGTCTGTCCCACTCCGAGGTAACCGCCTCTTTCTCTCTCTGTCTCTGCCTCTCGCTCTCTCTATCTTCCTTCCTATATATCTCCAGTTAATGATCTCTCTGTCTATGTCATTGAAATCAAATCGCTCCCTTTTTGTGCTTTCACTCCTAGTAGTAGCAGCAGCAGCGGAACAAGCACACTGAAATGAGCATTCCGCCGGCCATGTGGACGGGACTCCAGCCACCGCCGTTCACGGTGGCGCAGTGGCAGGAACTCGAACACCAAGCTCTTATCTTTAAGTATCTCAAAGCCGGATTATCCGTTCCGCCTGACCTTCTCGCTCCGATTCACAAGAGCCTCCAATTGATGCCGGTTCCTCATTCAGCTCGTAAGCCAACAAAACCCCCAATTTCTTCTCCCTCTAACCCCTGCATTTTTCACTTCGTTTCTGTTCCAAATCCCTAATTTCTGCCCAGTATTACCACTTAATCGTCTTTCTGCGTTTGTTTGTTTGTTTGTTTTTTTTTTCCGGTCCTGAAGTGGGTTATAGCTCCTATTTCGGGAAGAAGATAGACCCAGAGCCGGGAAGGTGCCGGAGAACCGACGGTAAGAAATGGAGGTGCTCGAGAGACGCACACCCAGATTCTAAGTACTGTGAGCGACATATGATTCGCCGTCGTCATCGTTCAAGAAAGCCTGTGGAAGCATCACAAGCTGCTCATCCTCCTGCTCAGTCTTCGGAGGTTAGTGGTGGGACCAGAAGTGGTTGTGGAAACTCATTTCCCAGCCTCCCTCTGCACACAAATGGCACTCGTGAGGGTTTAAGCCTTGGAAACAACGTATCACAGCTTCAGATTGAGTCTCTTCCCAGTGAGATGAACAAGAAAGAGTACAGGTATGATAACAGTACAGCTTCTTGTGACGTGAGAGCATAGTCTGAAGGGACCATTGTGATTTTCATGTTGTGTTGGTGTTGTGATTGTTTGAGCTGTGTGCATGCAGTGTTGTCTTTCTGGTGTTTGACTTATGGTGTCATATCATGCTTGCAGTGAGTCCTAGACTCTCTTTGGAGTGGTCATTTGTTTGTGTGAATGATGTTTTTTATGACAGGGACAAAGTTATTATTATCTTATAGACTTGTTGTGTGTGGTAGCTGTAATGCCAAGTTACCTCACATGTGTGGATCATTGCGATGCGTGGGATGGAAAGAGTAAGAAGTAAGTAAACTAGCTCGTGCGTTGAAGCTGGTCTTGTATTTTGTACAACAACTCTTTTTCTGTGTTCAAAAGGTAGAATCTTCTCGATTTTAGAGATCTAGTTTCATGCTTGCAATGCTTTTAACTCCGACATTTCATTTTAGAACTAACAAATGGGCTTTGGGGGACAAGAGAAACACAGTTCTCGACATTGTCTAGAGTATTCTTGTGATGTTAATTTGCAAAATCATCACAGCAAAATTTTCTGGACATGGATATGAAGGAGAGAGAATTTTATGTTATTCATTATCAATGATCTAATGACACTTTAACAATGGTGGTTGTTAGCTCGGTGAAATCCTTTCCCCCAGTATAATCGCTGTTTAGATTGTTGAATGAAGCTGCTGATTTCACCCCCCCCCCCCAAAAAAAAATCTGATTGGTGATATGCTTTTTTCGTTTCTTCCCCCTCCTTTAAACTATTGTGGACTTGTCTTAGCTGATTCTTCGTGTTTTATTTATTTTTCATGATGAGTGTGGGTCCCATGTATTGCACGGTGTTTGATAAATAAGCAATACTATTTGTGGCTGATGAATGTCGCATCTTGTTCAAGTTTCTATAATATATATATATATATATATATAATATGAATTGAGCAACTTGTTATGTACTAACCACTTTGCAGGTTTGGGCTGCAATCTGAAGTAGATGAGCATGACTTCTTTCAGAAAGACCTAGGAAATGTGAGGTATCTTGGCTTTGACTCTTCCTCAGACAGCATGTGGTCTCAACTGTCTCACATTTCCTCGAACGCTGTCTCTGAATCAAGTGAAAGTTCTGTTATGGCTAACAACTGTTTTCAACTGCAAGCGATGCCGGATACTGAGCCTGCATCAAACATTGATGTCGTGTCATCCAAGCAACTCGTCTTCAATGGCCAGTTAGGTTCAACTGGTTGTTTGAAACAGGACTATCAGAACCCTCAGACTCTGATCAATGCTTGGCCATGGAAGAAGGAGTCTGGCTCACCTGTGATGGAGTACAGACCAAATAAGGATGCTAATGGCAACCCAGATGTCAATGTTGATTGCTGTGGATCCCTGTAAGTTACCATAGAAAGCTTTGAATAAATATAATAGAATTCCTCAGGCATTGGAAAGAAGAATTCTCAGACTGAGTATTGCTGATATTAGAGGAATCAAAGTATTAATTCCCAAGTTCCATATTTGTGGTTTTATTTCACAGTTTCCTATTTACTTGAGGGATTTCTGTTATTTTAATGATGTAACTTGGGTTTTTAATTTTAATTTATTGTACTGGGATTTAGTCTTGTTATTGAATTTTTGTGTTTCCTTTTGTTCTCCCTTTAGATTATTGTGGCCCAGTTCTGCTTTTGAATTTCTATGGTTTCTGCGCATATAAACCTCTTGCCTGATTACGCATCGGCATTAAATAGAATTGAGTTTAATTAGTTCATTATGGGAAGTAGAGAGAAATAAAATTAAAATGGTGGGGCTCAATCTCTAAAGTTGAGTATTATTTATTATTATTGTTACTACTACTACTACATTTTTACTTCTCTCTACTTCGCCTTATAAATTATTTTAGGAATAAAAATAATTAAGGTCTAGAAACCGATCTTTCAGCATGGAGTTGCCTTTTTTTTTTTTAAGGAAAAACTAGATATTTTTCTATGCATTATGTAGAAAATTCAAAATAAACTATCAATACTCATGGTGTCTGAATATGGAATGATTTGTTACAAATTCGACGTTTTAAACTGATGTTGATGACGTTGATCGCAAAAGAAATCTCGTCTCTCCTTTTTTGGCCAAGGTCGTCTCTTTTAAAATAGTCATTATGGATGACATTTAATATCTTTTGGGTGCTAATTTATCCAAAGGCGTTCTTGAATCATGATTGAATTAAAGGAAGTATCATTGATATGAATAATGAGGTTCAGTATTCTATTCTTTATGTAGAAGGAGAAATGCATCTTGAATGATATAAAATTATACATTACATTATTTGTAAATTATATGTAAAATAAATGTATAAAAAACAAATCTAGTTTTCGTAAGAGTGGCAGTCAAGCTTCGTGGCATGTATTTTGACAGCCATGTCATGTATAATAATAATAATGCTGCAAAACTCATGCAAAAAGTTTCTTTCCTTTTTCCTTGTTTTCTTTTCTCTCTTTTGATAAAGGGGGAATGACGTCAAACCAATGCTGAAACTGAGAACTAATAAGCCAATAATGCATATCAGCCGATAAAAGATTTGAATTGCCTAAAGAGTAAAGATGGTGTTTTTAATATTTTATTATGTGAAATTTATGCAAAAGTTAAAGGAGGTAAAACGAACTAAGTTTCAGTTTCTGGTAAAACCTTGTGGGGCAGTAAAACTGTAAAATTAGCATTTACCAATGAACAGTGTTGGCTTGAATGGTGGTTAGAGAGCAGAGTCAAAGCACGTTTGGGTCGTAGGCTACCCCCAACTAGACAGTAACAAGTCAAATTTGAGTGGCACTTTTCTTTTTGTCAAAGGACCAAAATAATCCTTCCCAAAAAGAGAACATGATATGCCCCATTTGTCTGTTTGGATTTTAGCCATACTCGTCCACGGCATATTCAGTCCTTGCATCCCATTCCTTTTGCGCTTTTTCCTGATTTTTTTTTTCCTGCTTCCTTTCAAACAAACACAGTGCTAGAAGATCAACTATTATAGCCTTCTTCTCTGACTTTTAGTGCCGTTCTTGATCCTCAAACCCACCAGGGTTCTTAGAACAAAAGCTGAAAATGCAGAGGAGCAGGGGATTGTTGAAAAAAGATCACCCGAAGTACGAGAAACCCATTATCGATGGGGAGCTATTTGAGGCTGTGAAGCTGGGTGATTGGTTCTGGAACCTGCAAGACACAACAAGGCATTGTCCTTTCTGATGACTAAGGGTAATAATTAATAATGGTGGGACTCTCTGTTAAAGGCAGGGTGGCCCTGAGCTTCATATCCGGGAAGCAGTGCGAGAACCTCGTAAATACCCTGATTGGGAATTCTCACGAGTCATGTAAAACTTTGATGCAAAGTAGGCAGTTATGCAGGAAAGATGACGCATGACCTGTTATCTAGAGATAACTCGTATTTTACAAAAGATACCACATGAATAATCTCTTTAAATATGAAACTTTTTAGAATGATGTTTAGCCTGTGTTCGTAGAACAATCTCTACAAATAATCCCCAAAACACGCTTTGTTTGTAATAATAAACCCTTAGGGGATTTGTTGTTGTGTTGATATTATTGCTTTACGGTATTTGAGTAGGAAAGTAACTCATACGAAATAATCATTATAAAATAGGTAAATACAGAAATGATTTGAGTAAACTCTATGTACATGAACCAATTAAAGAACAAGAAAAAGACACGCGGCTTCTCTAAAAAACTAGACCAAAATACATTCTATAGTACAAAGCCTCGTTCTGAAAGATTGAAGGTTGTCAATGTTACTTCCTCCTCAGCAGCTAAGGGAAATGAAGGCTACAAATTTGGCAGCTGCAGAAGCCATCAATCTTTTCCTGCAAGCAAATAAGCAGGTCTTTCAATTTGATCTCCCTTCAGTTAGGGAAATTCACATACCAAAGGAACTAAAAAACTGATCTTGTCTGAAATTCCCTTTATCTCATCATATGCACATGATTTGTAGTTCTTCGTTAACATTGATGATCTTAAACTGCAACTACGAGAAGATCATCTGTCACTTGTTCCTGTCACACAACTTTTTTTCTTCTCCTTTTTTTTTTTTTTTTCACGGTGAGGTTCTATTTATGCCAAGCGACATGAAACCAGTCATAACACACAAGTTAATACAGACAAAAGCTTCTGGGGTGTAATGTGCAACACTCGTATCATTGGATCCAGCTATTTAGTTTACATGGAACATGCCAATATGGTAGTCCAACGAATAAAATATATGTTACTCCATTGACAATTACTATCACTAGTACTTGTAAGGAAGGATTCCAATAAAGGAATCATATCGACAGATGTACAACACATAATCAATTTAGTGATTGAAATTTATTACTTAAGTTACTTGATCTTGCAATAGGCAGATTAGCATGCACCAATCCCCGAAGGGAAGAGGTATGTTAAGAACATGCAAGCTTAACACTATATAAGCTCAACAAATAACAGAGAAGGAAAGGAAAAACAATTACACAGAAGAATTTTGCAAGGCAAGCATAAAATCAAACAATCAGGTAATAGAAGATACACATAAATTGAAGAAGTCGCAAGTAAAGGAAGTATGTTCTTCTAGCAAATAAAGTTTAAAAAAAAAAAAATCAATAAATTCCTTACCCTTGATCAATAACTGCCTTTGCCTAAAGCTAGACAATTTCTCCGTGGCTTCTCTTTGCAAGTAAGAAACACCACGTACAATTCCACTCCAGCTATCCTCGGCAACATGTTTTCCAGAAAGAAAACCATTGAAATGTGCTGACTCCAATGCAGAGCCTCTTCTTGCCATAATTGCTAGATTAAAAAGGAGAAAAGGTAAAACTCTAATCTCCAAGCGCACAAGATTAAGAACATCAAAATCTAAATGCACAAGATTTTCATATTCATCAAGTGAAAGAGGTCCGGTTAGGATGACTCTTGAATACAGAACTTTTTGTGGATAAAGTAACAACTACAAAAAGCGACTGATATTTTAACTCTTTAGGAATTTACCTTGATAAGGAGCTTGACAGAAGTTCATAGGAAGACCTATACCAAAGCCAGCCAGAGTGATACCTACACTAAATCCAACACCACAGCCAGCTCCAACATAGCCCACCACTTCAGGGCCAAATCCTGGACCCCACCCAACACCACAGCCAATGCCCACACCCATCCCCCAAAATGTTCCATAGGTTGGATGAACTGGGTTCCACCTTTCACATCTTCCAAACAATCCTTTTATAATCATAATGACCTGAGAACAAAGATAAACCAAAAAAAAAAAAACCATTTCTTCAACCAAATAAGAAAACCTATGCAATATTATTGCTAAAATAGTGGCCTTCTTTCAACTGCTATACCATGTTTAAACATTCAGTCAGAAATATGTACCAGATTTCATTTCGCATATAAGTCGCTAATATGTAAGAAATGTATCAAATGACATTAACTTTAAAGTGGCAAAGATGGTCACCGGAAAATAATTCACCAAATCAGGAACTATGAATATATATGTATATATAATTGAACTAGAACCCTGTTCAAACATCTGAAGTCCTAGGCAAACAAGCAATAGAGACCAGCCCAAAGATCAATCAATGAAAGATATTCCCCCAGTCAAGGCCATATCATGTCCTTAAACATTTGAAGTGAAATGGGCAACAAGCCAAAACTTGCTTCAGCTTAAAAGCCAGAAGCATTTACTTGTGCACCAGCAGGACTATATTGTCGAACGATTTGGAGGAGATTAGAATTATAACTTAACAACTAAAGGAATAAGGAACAATCTACCACTATTCTTTCCTTTTTTTTTTTTCCCTGCCCAATGTTCTCATGCTGCAATTCTATCTACTCGATGAAAAATTAATCTGTACCACTGAGGAAAAGGTGGAACCCTGGAAAGTGACAAGGCAGTTCTAGACAAGGTCAAATTAAATCCGTTTTGCAATTTGAAACAATCTAGCTAATTATTCTTCTACATATATTCATAGAAACTCATAATTCTTGTAGCACAAAAGACGTCCCATTTCCATGTCAACGATGAGTAGTAGTATCTAGGAAACCTCTTTTATGGTGACATATAATAACATATCCCCTTCACATAAGGAATTAGGAGCACACTATAATGACGACTAAGCGACTCAGAAAGATTTTTTTTTTCCACCCCGCATTTTGATTATGGGACAAATAAATTTATGGGATATCTTTTGGGTCACTTTCCTAACTTTTGTCAGCATACCTTCACATCGGATGCAAGATCAAGAGAACACATAAAGAAAGCGAAATATAGATCTCGAGTTATAAAAAAATGATAAATATTAATAGCAATTCCGCTTCTATGCTTCAAAGAAAATCCCTTTCCATCTAAGTTCTTCGCTCTTGCTAACACACTATATAACCTCAGATGTTTGGAGAGATACAGTAAAAAGAGAAACACACAAACGTCCACGCAAAACAGCTTCTTATCAGTGAAAGGAACGGGGGGCGAAGGGAATGAAACTGATGCAAGAATCGCAAATATCAGCTTACCAAGAGGTTAATTTACTACCATAAAAATTCTGCTTGGAATAAAAACAAAGCTGCTGGATTCACTGCAATTTCTTCATTTGTTCATTCATGAATCGTAATCTCTAATGCTAGAGGATACTTGAATTTCCGGGTTGATGAACAAAGGCTGGGACTCAACGCTAGAAAGGCTCGTATCAAGCGAACTTATCCGAAATGCATATTTCCATGGACCCAGCCAATAACCCGATAATATTCGGATCCGGACGGCGTTACATGGCCATCATGTGGGCCCTAAAAGAACCCTCCAGTGACTAGGCTTTGCATTAGTCATATTTCTCGCGTTAATATTATATTACCTCCGATTCTATTTATAAGAGCTAGTTAACTAATTTAAAAAAATTAAAAAAATTAAATTATTTATTTATAATAAATATGTGTTATTTTTCTTAAAATATCCTTACTAATCAATTGTATTGGTTGGAATTATTATTGTTAGAAGAACTATCTTAGGAAAAATACATAAACATGAGAGACAAAGTGGATTAGATCTTATATTTATGATCAAAATAAAAGTTAAGTAAGATCTTATATTAAGGATCGGAGGTAGTATATAAGACTTATTTTACATATTTATTAATTTTTTTAAATTAGTCATATTGATATTTTTTCAGTAATAATGAAGTAGGAGAGGAAGGAAAGGAATTAAGAAAAATACTTACGGTGTTTTAGAAAAAATATATCATATTAACTAATTTAACTAGTATTCTTAATTTACTCAAATTAGTTAATTAGGTCTTATATTAAAGATATCGAAGGAGTATCTAGTTATCTACCTCAATAAATTATACTCCTCTAGTACTTAATATAAAACCTATCTAACTAACTTGATTAGATTAAAAAAATAAAGTAAGTTAGTTAATTATAAAAAATATGACATGTTTTTTCTAAAACACCATAATTAGTTTTTTTTAACATTCCCTCTCTCTCTTCTATTTGATTATGGTTGACGAAGTATCAATAAGGGTAATTTAAAAAAATTAATAAATATAATAAATAGGTTTTATATTTGAAATTAAGATTAACTCGACAATTAAGTCTTATATTGAGTAGTAATCAGTATGAAATATAAGATCTATCCCGTTAAATTCGATACATTGTAATTAAAAAATGTCTACTTATTTCTAGATTTTGTTAAATTATGTTTTTTTCCTTAAAAAATCCACGTTTTTACCATTACTTGCATATAGTGCGATTGAATATAAATTTTATTATATATATTGATCGATGATTTGATGCTATATTGGTTGATAATTAATTAATATTGAGTTAAAAAGTTAGATTTAAAAGAAAAATTAGATGATTTCTCATTAAATGCATGGTGAAATAAAAATAAGAAATCCACTTCTATGAAGGATTTAGATCTAATCTAATAGAAGTGAAAAATATATATATTATTCAATTATTGAAATATCAAGTCATATTCCACTATGTGAGGTGAATTACATAAATTACGATTCAGTTATTGAAATCAAGGAAAAGAAATAACAATAAAGATTGAGGTTGGAGCCTTTTGAGAATTCATGCACCCTCAAGTTTTAAATCGCCACAGAAATTACATTCCAAGACATTAGACTGCCCATCATCATCCTTTGGAGGCAGAGGAGCCAGTGTGCCAGAACAGTTCTTCTTATCACATACATACTTCCGTAGGAACCAATCATGAGGCAATCCGCTACTTTGATCATCATCATCAACACCCCAGTTGGCTTCAATCTTGCACACCTCTCACACCCACAAACAAACCCATAATCTTCCATCAAGATCCTCTTCCTCGTCCAATAATCCCTATTGATTCTAAAATAGCTTATGCACACTTCTCTCCCCTCTGCAACATCCTCAATCATCCTGATCACAATGTCCGTGTTGTGTTCATCTCCAGGAACACCATCATCGACGTAATCGAATCTGCATGCATTGGGAAGACAATCATGGTTAAAGAAAGTGGCATTTGGGTATATAGCATAGGCCTTGATGGATCTCTGAGGACCATCTGGGGAATATGGCTCCATTAAGCAGAAAGAATTAAGCCTATCTTTAGCCATAAGTTGAGCTGTGAGTTCTGCAGGGAGCTGATTCTGAGGTGGTGGGCACAGAGAAGAAATCAGAGAGTGGAGAAAGCTTGAAGCTTTAACAATGGCGTCATCTGGGGTTCCCAGAAGAGAGAGCAAGATCTGAATACTGGAAGGGGAAAGAAGGGAAAGGTTATAGACAGCAACGACGAAACGAGCCTGGACTTGAAGTTCATGGGATTGACGAAGAAGCTCTGAACCAGAGTCTCGAAGACAAGACAGGGCCTGACATACCCATGAAGAATGAGAGGATTTGAGAGCAAGAGAGAGGCATTTCTGGCTACAGAAATGGTGGCGCGAACAAGAGGGGCATGAATAATATGATGAAACAGTGTGTTGTGTGTGGGGTTGAAACTGGTAAAATTGACATGAACAGTGATCACAGTAAGAAGAAGATGAATCAGAGAAGAGAGGGAAAGTGGAATAGAGAATGATGGGAGATTCAGTGAGGATGATTTGGCCGGCTTTGAGATTCTGAGTTGCAACTAATCC